CACTTGTTTATTTTTTAATTTGGTAGGCTAAAAAAACTTGTCCAAGTTTACATATATTTTATTAAAATGAATATTTATATATAGAAACTTAATTAAAAAAAAAACTTTTTAGAGACTAAACTCCGCATATTATACAATTAAAGGATCAAAAAAATTAATCCTAAAAGGTGTAATTCAATTAGCCAAACTCTGAATTTGCTCTTTAAAAATATCATCCGTTTGAGTTTTACAAATTTTATATCCACTAAAAGTTTATATGATCGTTAATTTCAGAGTTCGTTGGATTAGTTGAAATACACACAAGCTAGTTCAGACACACACTTTAATCTAAAAAATAAAAGGACCAAAAAATTTCAAATTAGGACTGAAAAATTAAAAAGAAAATATGGACTAAAATAGATGTTTAAAACTTTAAGGACCAACATAAACTTCTGTAAAAACCTTATTTAATTTCGTTCTGTCTACTTTGCATCGAACCGAGACAATAACATGTAATGACTCAATTATTTATTGTCCGGATCAGTAAAGTCCAACACATTCCATTCTCAGTTGTTCTAACTTATCTAGATTATCAGATTAGTAACACTGAATCCTTTACATAAACTAAATAAGAAAATAAAAATTTCACGTATGCATAAATTAATAAATGTTAGTAATATTTAACAAAAATAACACCTATCTCTTCAAAGAACTTCAACCGTTTTTTTACAAAATTCCATCCACATAAAATTGATCATTTTGTCTCCGAATACTCTACAAATTTTGTCACTGATTGTTTTAGTAAAGTGTCCTTCTCAAATTGTTGAGTTTGGATGTTTATCTATTCAACTTTAATAAAATTGGATACAATTCTAAAAAGAAAAAAAAATTCATTAATATTTTAAAAAATCGGCATAATGATTAATAAAAAGGAATGTCTACTAATGAAATACATAATCATGTATATTAAAGTTTTAAATTTGTTTTATTAACATAGATATTTAGGATAATTTATATATACCTTGATTAATTTTATAAGTTTTGAAATTAACGATCATGTAAATTTCTAGTTATCATTATATTAACAATTATAAGACTCAAATTTAAAATTATAGAAGGAAAAAATTATTTAGTTGCAAGATTTTATTATTGAGTAACCTACTCAATAGTTTTAAAATAATTTTTTTGTAATTTTAGATTTTATGGTGTTAATTTTTTCTTTATTTATTTCTAAAACATACTTCAAGTTCCAAAATAATGCAGTTGTATTTGTTTAAATTATATATATACGCACACAGATGATATTGATTGAAATAATTATATGGTTTTCTATTTTGTTCAAAGGCCATATCCGATTTTAAAGCAGATCTCTCAAATATCACCAACGCTTACTTGAGGCACATCGATTTACATAGAAGGAGTCAATAAATGTTTTATTTTGATTGATTTAATTTTTTTTCCTTAATTATTATCGAATATTTTTTTCAACTGAAAGATCCTTAAATAGGACAGTCTTTTGAATTTGTGTTTGCACAAATGTTGTGGGTTTTTAGTGTCTTGGATTTCAGTTAATTAAAGTTATCAGATTTTTTAGAAAAAGTCTACAAGGCAGTCTAACTTTTGTTACTTTTTGTCTTTTTGAATTTAATTAAAATACTCCAATATTGGGGTCAAATAATAAAACAATAAAGTTTGGGTAGCGATTGAATTACACAGTACTAAAGATTCAGAATGTGTGAGATAATAATTTAAAGTATTTTTATTAAAAAATATTTTAAAATAAAAAAATTTTATTTTTAAAAATTATTTTTAATATTTGCATATTAAAATAAAAAAAAATAAAAAAAAATTATTTTAAAACAAAATAATAAATTTAAAATTTGAGGAAACATGATTTACATTGTATTTCCAAACACAATTTTAATTAAAAAACTATCTATAATTAGTTTAAAAGGATTGTAAATCTCTCTTAAATACATGAAAAATAAAAAAGTCTAATATGATATGCTATAATGCTTGCAATTTAAATTAATCCTTTATGAAAAAAAATTTATAAATTTTCTATTTGAATAAGTTGAAGCATTTTAATTTAAGGTCTACTAAGTAATTTATATAGACTAATTTATCTATCTATCAAAGGTTTCTACTTAATATATGATTTTTCTTTGATTCTTTGGATATATTCCAATTTTAAAGATGTTCTATAAAAGCTATTTGGTATTCTTCCCTGTTAAAATCTTGGATAATTTTAGGATCAAAGAAATATGGATGCATACAGGTATTAGTACTTCAAGGTCTTCATATAGAAAATGATGTAACTAATCTAGACATTATTAAAAAGGATAATTAAAAAAGAAAACTAAAACAACCAAGAGAGAAAAATCCAGAAATAAATTGACAACAAATATTTGAAAAGAGTAAATAGTAATGAATTTTATCAAGGCACATCCAACAATGGGAACGCCGCCCGGGACCACCAAACGCCTAACCTCGGCTACCATGGTTGACCACAACTTACCACCACCGCGACATATACTTCGACAAGGGCTGCGGTGGTTGCAAGTTGAGCTCTTTTTCCTTCCTAATTTACTAAATAAAGTTTTTGACTTTTGGCTTAATTCAAACACAGTTCCACCATTGGAACAGAAGATCCCGTCCTCAAATGATCCATTTTTTTAGTGAGAAGTGACACTACTTTGTAAAAGCCTAAACTTATTTATCATTTGGTCTTCAAAAGCTAAGTGCGATGGCTTTTATCATATATAAATCTCATATGGGAGGACTGTCTTCCATCTAGCCAAACCTACCTCCGGTGGTTCATCAATTGTAGTGTGGTTGTCAAGATATCTGCCATCAGATTGAACTTTCATGCCCTGCTATCAAATATTCACTCGCAGCAATGCTCCTCCAAGTAAAGCTAGGTTGTTGTTCAATCCTATCTCCCATAAAGCTAGTTATAGGGTAGTGCTTGTTAGGTTTTCCCAAATGCACACATGAAATTGAAACGATAAATTGAAAATTAATATCTTGATTGTGCATGGTGTGTACTATCAAAGTTATTGTGTTTCTTGAGTTTGAGGCTAAATATTAAATTTTATAGCCTTGAGCTCTTATTTATTTGAATGTTTGTTTGTGGTTTTTGAATTTTATTAAATTTTATTTTTTCCCATTACTTTTTCAAGAACAAATCTTTTTTCTAGAAATATAGCATATTTTAAGGTAAATATTTTTTCTCCATGATATGAAAAAAATAATATCCAACATACTCTTTTGAATATCATACAAACTTATAATTATCTAACTTAATTTCTTATTTTTTCAAATACTATACGCTTCAGATAAATATTGTATTCTCAAATCTTTAAGTATGATAAGTTTAGTTTTTTACTATTTCATATCTCATAAGAAGTCTCATCAATAGATTTTAATTAAATTCTATTTAAAAAGTAAATAGTAGTTTACAAGGCAAAATGATTAACACTTAAAAGTGTATTTTTATCAAGGTTTTATATTATTATTTTGCATTTGAAGTATTAATAACTCTTTAACTAGAGCATGTTTTATAATAATATAACTAATGATATAAAATACTTTTAATTTATGGTAAATGTTCATTTTAAATGCAAATCTATCACATAAATCAAGGGATTGATTAATGAATTTAACTATTTAAATTAAGAAGACGGAGAGATCTAAGATTAGAAAAGAAATGTTGATTCAGTCCAAACTGGAACACCATTTAGTTATTGGATCATAACTGGAGCTGGAGAACTTGAATTTAGGTCTGCTATACATGAATGAAAAACTAAGACACGGGCCTAAAACGTTCATAAGAGTCTAATATTCATAAAGATCATTTTCAAGTTCAAATTATAGCAACAACGAAGAAATCCAAATCTGTCCTGCAGCTCAGACACTGTTCAGCATTCAACCCATATCTCGAGTTCTAAAAGTCTAAGGGCACAGATTTTTCTTTTGCTAAAAAGCTGAGACAATTTCCTAAAACTTTCATGAGAAAATCTATTCCAATTATGATATTAACAATGACATTTTATTCAGACAAGAAGATAAGGATAATCACCAACTCAAGATGTAGCTACCCTCTCAACAATTAGTTAATAAATAAATAGTTTCTCATTTTGGCCTATAAAAGAAGATATTAATCATACATTTTAAATATCTTGGTTTTTAGATCAAGATCATTTTTTTACTTGCTTTCTTTCCCTATAGCTTTAATATTCTAGTTTTATTTCATGTTATAGTTTCATTATTTTATTTATACATTTCATTTTTTTTACTATATTTATATAATTATGTTCTCATTTTATTTATTTATGTTTCTATTCTTCATGATGTTTAGTTAATTTTAACACGTTAAAGTAAAAAGATTTCATTAATGGTGTTAAAATATATATGATATAAACTTAATATTAATTTTAATGCTTATATTTTAAAAAAATTATTATTGATATATTTTATTATTTTTATCTTATTAATTTTTAATATCTTATCTTTTATTTTTTAACATATTCTTTAAATTATTTTTTCTTGTTAATTTTTTCAATGGTCTAGTTAATTTTACTATGTTAATATAAAAACATTATTATATCATTTAATAAAAGCAACACATTTAAATGGGATAGATACGTAAACATTTCGACTTAGAGAATGTAAATGCGTTAAAATTATATTATATTATAAAAAATATTTCAGCATATTAAAATAATAAAAATATTATATTTTTAAAAATAAAAATTTCAAAACTCACTGTTGACATTGCTAAACGGTGCCAAAGAATAGAAAGAAACCATAGTAATATTTAAGAGTTATTTGAGAATGTGGTATTGTTAAAGTTAAAAATATTTTTAAGTTAAAAATATTTTAAATAATATTTTTTTATTTTTTTTAAAAATATTTTTAATATTAATTTATGATTTGAAAATATAGAAATATTTTTAAATATTTTAGAAAAATATATTTTGAAGCGCATTCACAGATAATGACAGCACGCAACGGAGGCCAAGTTAATTTGTGGGGATGTGTGCAAAATGAAACTGCTCCTTCTCTCGCTTTCCTTTCCATTTCCTTTCCTTGCCTTTTCTCCTTTACCGTTTCAAGCTCTGACTTAGATCACTCACTGTCAGACACGCACACACTAATAAAATCCCTTCAAGTCTCTAGCAAGTAGCAAGGTTTCGTTCGGGTTAGGGTTGCTTTGTTTTTCTTCATTTCTGTAATTTTCATAGCAGCAGCTGCTCTCTAATGTCAAACCCCCTGGGACTGGGAGAGCTCTCCTTCTTGAGGGAGCCCTTTGTTCTTGTTTTCTTTCTTATTGTCTAAAACTTCTTTGATGTGATCACTGTGACACTGATTTGAGATCAAATAATCTGAAGTTTGGATTTTTGCTCTCTTTCAAAGCTGCTGGTTTGGTGGTTTTTTTTTTTTTTTTAAAAAAAGCAGTAGTTGGGGTCTTTTCTTGAAACTAAAAACAAACGCAGAGGATTCTCACAAAATTACACACTCAGATTATGTGTCTGTTCATGGTATTACATATGTATTGTTCTTAAACTCTGCAAAAGAAGAAGAAGAAGAATTCCATCTTTCTTTTTGTTTGAGTTTCAAGATTCTTCTTTGTTAAGCTCAAATCATACTGTTCTTTTCCTTTCTCCTTTTGTTATGTCTTGCAAAGAGGAAGAGAACCAAAGAATCTTAACCCCCATAAAGAAAGCAGACACCTCCTGATTCCTTTATTTATCTGTGTTTGATTATTTATTTTGTGGTGGAAATGGCCATGGAAGTGGCCCCTCTGCACCGAGAGAGCAGCAGTAGTGGGAGCATGAACAAGCACCTTACTGATGATGGGAAGTATGTTCGGTACACAGCAGAGCAAGTGGAGGCTCTTGAAAGAGTTTACGCGGAGTGCCCTAAGCCCAGCTCTTTGCGTAGGCAACAATTGATTAGAGAGTGCCCCATTTTAGCTAACATTGAGCCGAAGCAGATCAAAGTCTGGTTTCAAAATCGCAGGTTAAGATAAAAAGAAACTAAAATTTCTTAAATAATTTACTTTGACTTTTATTTTGATTCAATTTTTGGGGGATCAGGTCTTAGAGGGACTGGATTAACAGCATTTAATAAAGAAGTTTTACACTCTGACATTAAATGCATTGATGCCAAATAATTAAGTTTCATTAAGTATCAGATTGGTAAATTAAAGAGTACTACCAGGGTAGCTTTTTTTTTTAAAAAAAAAATTAGATGGGAGAAACACTACATCTTTTCTGCAATTTGAATTTTGTTTGTTTGCAAGCTTCTTTCCTTTTGCTTTTAGTGTAAACCTTCCTCTATTGGGTCATGATTTCACACTGGATTTATGTGCTTCCATTCATAGGATGCATTAGTTTGTATGGGTTGCTCCAATATGGGTTTTTGATTAGTTGAAGTTGGGATGCGTATAAAGAGATCACAGTCTTAATTTCTTCTGGGGATGAAGGGGTTTCCTGGGACAGTGAGAGAAGTTGGGTCCTGTTTGGATGTGCAGGTGTAGAGAGAAGCAGAGAAAAGAGTCCTCAAGACTCCAGACTGTGAACAGGAAATTGACAGCAATGAATAAACTTTTGATGGAGGAGAATGATCGCCTTCAAAAACAGGTGTCACAGCTGGTGTGCGAAAATGGTTTCATGCAGCAACAACTGCAAACTGTAAGTCTCTGATCGTGGTCTTTTATTTATAAATTGTTGTTTCCATTCATTCGTTACGATGATCCGTGTTGCAAATTGGGTAGTGCTGGGGATGATCTTGGAATATACGTTTGGCATGATGACCCAAAGTAACTTTAACCAACACTTCTGGGTGATTTCAACTTTGATGGTTTTGCCATGTGTCCCAGATTTTGCGGTGTAGAAGGTGCATTTTATCTGTGTTAATGATGTTGTTCTAATCTATGTATGATTTTTGTTACAGCCTGAGGCCCTAGCATTAACTCTAGTCTAAACAAAGCCAACTTCCAGGGGAAGGAAAATTATAGTAACTACATATCATTATTAGCATTATGTACTTTTCCTCATGCCAGCTAGTAATTTTAAACTTATTATGTGCCTCTATTTTCTTGTCACATTTTCTTCCCATGTTTGGTCATGCTCCGCTTGGTGCTTAATTAGTTGTAGCACCAATAGCATGTTTTTGCTGTTTTGTAAATATAGCTCTAACTGAGCTCCATGAATTAAGCATTTGATGCAATCTTATTTGCTTTCCTTCATTCTTGGACATGATTTATTGAAGTTGATATTGGTACAGGCACCAACAGCAAATGATGCAAGCTGTGACTCTGTGGTCGCTACTCCACAACATTCACTAAGAGATGCCAATAACCCTGCTGGGTAATCACAGTTACCTGGATCTCTTATCCATTTTGTTTGTTTGTGGTTAGCTGAATGCTTGTTTGTCGGCGTGCCATCCAACTAATATCGTGGTTTTTTTTTTTTCCTTTCAGACTCCTCTCAATAGCAGAGGAGACCTTGTCAGAGTTCCTTGCAAAGGCCACAGGAACTGCTGTCGAGTGGGTCCAGATGCCTGGAATGAAGGTTTTTTTTTATATATAAATATGTGCGCGCGTGCGCCACTGGTCTTTTAGTTGATAGATGTTCTTTATACACCTTTTCTATCTGAATGAATCATTTAAATTTGTTGGCAGCCTGGTCCGGATTCGATTGGGATTTTTTCCATTTCACAAAGGCGCAGTGGAGTGGCAGCAAGAGCCTGCAGTCTTGTAAGTTTAGAGCCTAAAAAGGTATTCACACTCATATCTGTAAATAATTTAAGTTGTTTCTTGACATTGATTGCTGGCTGCTTGTTTTAACGTGGTATATATATGCTATATGATTTTTTGTTTTTCAAAATATATGACAGATTGCAGAGATCCTTAAAGATCGTCCATCTTGGTTCCGTGATTGTCGGAACCTTGAAGTTTTCACTATGTTTCCTGCTGGAAATGGTGGAACAATTGAACTAGTGTACAGTCAGGTAATCAAGAATGGATAAAGGCTTGATTTCCTCTGCTATTCTTTATGGATTTTACCAGAGCAGCTAAGATTTGAAATTGGTTTAGATATATGCTCCAACTACTCTTGCTCCAGCACGGGATATGTGGACTCTGAGATACACTACAAGTTTAGAGAATGGCAGCCTTGTGGTACACATCTTCTATAGTTCAGCTCATTTGTATAGATTAATTCTTGATTGACAATTCAGCTTTAGTGTCAAGATCAACGCTGTATTCAGCTTTAGATGTCTCATTTGTACGTCTTATATTAAGGTCTGTGAGAGATCACTTTCTGGTTATGGTGCTGGCCCCAATGCAGCTGCCGCTGCCCAGTTTGTGAGGGCTGAAATGCTTCCTAGTGGCGATTTGATAAGGCCCATGTGAAGGAGGGTCAATTATCCACATCGTGGATCACCTGAATCTTCAGGTACAGTTTTAGACAGTTGGCATTACATGTCTCTTCATAAGTCAGAGGTAATTCTTTCATATTTTTTCCAGGCATGGAGCGTGCCTGAGGTGCTTCGACCACTTTATGAATCATCAAAAGCAGTGGCACAGAAAATGACCATTGCGGTGAGTGGGTTCTTACTGCAACCATCTTGATAAAGCAGTATCGGAAGGACTCAATTATCTCTGCTTTTTATTTATTTACTATTATAATAGGACTTACCCTCAATAAGAATTCTTATCTGATCAATTTTTTGCATGGGATGCAGGATGCAATAATTTGAGTTTGTTTTAAATTGTTACTTGATTTGGTTGAGATGCCTTATATGCCTGTGAAATTGGAGGCTATTGCTCTACTAGTAAAAAATTAGGAACGTTTTTCTTTTCCTTTCTTTTTCAAATGTGGGCATAGTTCCTCTCTTGTCAAATGTTATTATATTGATATTTGGAGTGTTTATTTATTGGTCCGCTGTGTATGGAGTTATGGCTTTCATGGATAAGACAAGTTTCAACTCTACAGTACTGATTATCTGGTTGCTTTCAAGGCACTGCGTTATGTCAGGCAAGTAGCTCATGAAACCAGTGGTGAGGTGGTGCATGGTTTGGGCAGGCAACCAGCTGTTCTGAGAACCTTTAACCAAAGATTAAGCAGGTACTATGACAGTGTCTGTCAATTTAAGTGGTTTTCTTGCAAAGACATTCATGTGGACCAAATCAATGTGTATTTGATCATTCAAGGTGTGCATATGGTTGGTTTAATTGTATATTTGTGTTCCATGTCAACTTCATGTAGAGGTTTCAATGATGCCATCAATGGGTTTAATGATGATGGCTGGTCACTGATGAATGCGGATGGAGCTGAGGATGTAATAATTGCAGTTAACTCAACCAAGAATTTGATTGGTGCTAATAATTCTGCTCATTCTCTTTCGTTCTTGGGAGGGATTCTTTGTGCAAAAGCTTCCATGCTACTGCAAGTGAGTTTTGAAACTATGATCACAAATTTTCTATTGCCTATTGAAACAACAAAGAAATATTTTGAGGGTAATTGTTAACTACATTCTTCTGCATTTCCAGCAAACCCTGAATAAGCAAGCTTGTTTACATTTCCATTTTGACTGTTAATTGCAACTGTTTAATAAAGTACATTTTCTGATCAATTTAGTATTTTGCCATGACTTTGACGTTGCTTATAGTTTTCATCATATTTACTTTCACCTTTCTATTTGTTCTTACTTCTGAAATCTGGATTTACAACAGAATTATTTTCAGGATATTCACCTGATGCTCTGTGGCTTTTTAATCTTCTTGCTATGTATGGACACTCTTTGAAGATCAAAATTTCCTTGTCAAAAGATGCCAAATTTTGGTTTACTGGTTTTTGAAAAAGAGGAAATCTTAGTTTGCCGTATGGAGTTAAAAAGTTGGAGGGAAATTGTTAAAAGAGAACATTTAAGGGTGAAGTGTTTGCTAGGAATTGAAAAAATTAGGACTAATATTGGGTCTCAATTTAAATCAAATCATGAAGTTTTATCTTTAAAAAAATCAAATAATATTATTTGTAGTTTGAAATTGGATGTGGAATAAAAAAAGAATAAATATTAAATTAAAAAAAGAGAGGAAAAATCATGAAAACCAAAAAAATTTCCTCCAAAATTTCTCTACCTCTCTCCAAACCTTGAAATTTTCCTCCCCCCAAATTAATACCAAACAAAAGTAAAGGGGATGAAAAGTTTGTGTGATTAAAAATTAAGAATTAGTGCAACATGTCTTTGGATAAAACTGATTTCTTCTTTGTTTTTATCTGCTAGAATGTGCATCCTGCTGTGCTGGTCTGTTTCCTAAGGGAGCATCATGCTGAGTGGGCTGATTTCAGTGTTGATGCCTATTCTGCTGCATTGTGGAAAGCTGGTTCATATGCATATCCAGGAATGAGGCCCATGAGGTTTACTGGGAGCCAAATCACCATGCCACTGGGCCACACAATTGAACAAGAAGAGGCATGTTATCTGATGCAATCATTTCATCATCATGCTAGATTGCTGGTATATTGAATAAAAAGGAATGTGCAATTGCTTAAAAAATGGGATGTTTTATCCTAATCATATTGCATTTGATTCCCTGTGGGTTTTTCCTTTCATTTTTTTTTTTCATATTGAAAAGTATTAATAATGAGAGGTGTTAAGCTTTTTATCATCCTAGCATCAAGCTATTTTTCAGGACCTCCCCTACAGTATCTTCACTGCAGTAGAGTTTAATCACCTCCTTAACATATTCAGTGTTCAAATTGGCGTGATGGGTACTGAGCATTTGCTTTTTGTGTCTATGGTTGCTTCCTCTTTCATAACCTCCCATCCTAGTCCTCTGTGGGATTTCAAAAACATTGTCATGGTTTGATAGGCGAGTCTTCTGTTCATACAAAAATGTTGTGCCTGCTAAATAAAGATCTTATCCTGCAATGAGTGCAATTATTTGTGCTGCACAACAAACATTTTCAAGTACTTTTGCTCCTAACTGAAACTTTTGCTCCAGTTGCTTGAAGTTATTCGACTTGAAGGCCATTCTTTTGCACAAGAAGATGCTTTTGTTTCACAGGACATCCATCTCCTACAGGTGCTGCTTTTAGCATCTTTATTTATTTTCCTTTTTCAACCTGCTATAGCATGTAGTAGTTTGAATTTTTTGTTTAAATGAGTGTCAAGGAGTTTTGGGGTTGCTATAGTTGCAATCTGCGCCCCATTTTTGACATGGCTAACCTTGACTTGTTCAACTTGGGTAAGGTAGCATGGTTGATGGGCCTACTTGGTTCATAGTTAGGATGTTTGTGTAATTTATACCATGTTCCAGGGTCCGATCGGTTTCCCATTTACTCCCTATTTACTATATCTTACAGAATACTGAGAATTTCTTTTGCACTAAGGTTCGCTTATGCTGTACTTACAGCTGCCTAAGAGAGGCTTGATTATGCTCTTTAACAAGACATGTATATACTAATAAGAACTGGCTGCATGTGCTTTAATGGGTTTCCCTTGTTTTGGGCAGATATGTAGTGGAATTGATGAGAATGCTGTTGGAGCCTGTTCTGAACTAGTTTTTGCTCCAATTGATGAAATGTTTCCTGATGATGCTCCACTGCTACCTTCTGGTTTCCGCATCATTCCTCTGGAATCAAAAGCAGTTAAGTATGAGTGCATTTCACTGTAATTTTTCCTTTCCATTGGCTCAACTGGACAAGATACTCATTCGCTAAATATGTTGCTTCTTAAGTAAACATATTTGTCTCAGTTGTGTTTTACCTTGTGTTTACTCAAGGCCTTGTGAAAGTTGCATGACATTTTTTTTTTAATATGCCAATGTTGTTATACAGAAGGATACACAGGAGGTAGTGACTACAAATTGTACTCTGGATCTAACATCAAGTCTTGAAGCGGGGCTGGCGATAAACCACGCTGCAGTGGATGGCTCATCGTGTCATAGTTTGCGATCAGTGTTGACTATTGCCTTCCAGTTCCCTTTTGAGAGCAATCTACAGGATAATGTTGCCACCATGGCACGTCAGTATGTACGTAGTGTGATTTCATCTGTCCAGAGGGTTGCCATGGCCATATCTCCATCAGGATTGAGTCCAGTTTTGGGACCAAAGCTATCTGCAGGATCTCCTGAAGCTCTAACCTTGGCTCACTGGATCTGCCAAAGTCACAGGCAAGTTCTGCTTAAGTTTTCATCATGGTTTAGTGACTATATTATATTAATATTAATATTAATATTAATATTAATACTAGTGAAGTGCTAATTGCCGAGTTGCTCATTATTCTTCTATAGCATCTTGTAGTGCATCTTCTATGATAATTTGAGCTTGATAGAACTTCATGATCTTTTCTTTTCTTGCTTAGTTACCATTTAGGAGCAGAATTACTGAGATCTGATTCTGTGGGTGGCGATTCTGTCCTGAAACATCTATGGCATCATCCAGATGCAATTTTATGTTGTTCATTGAAGGTACATTTACATCCAATTGGATAGCACAGTATATCTGTCAAATATTTAGTTGAAGTGCTTCTGAAAATTGCACATTCTACACCAGTGCTCCGCTACTGAGGAGATCATTCAATCTTCAGTGTCTGAGATAACATCAGAGATTTTTCATGTATCTGTGTTTTTTTTTGTTTTGCAGTCGCTGCCAGTTTTCATCTTTGCCAATCAGGCAGGGCTTGACATGCTGGAGACAACTCTAGTGGCTCTACAAGATATCACACTCGATAGGATATTCAGTGAATCTGGACGCAAGGCATTGTATACAGAATTTGCAAAGTTAATGCAGCAGGTAAGTTTTACATGGAAATACGTTCTGTTTGTTCTCTTGACCAAATGTTTGTCTACATGTTGAGGAACATCGGATGTTTGCTGTCAAGTTAGGTTCTTCACTAGAATTTCCCTCATCATTATAAGGCATTGTAAAGATCTGCAAAATTATAGGTGCTCTTTCTTGTGATTTTGAACTTAAATTCTATGGATTGATTTAAGATAATGTGCGGTTTTGTTTCTGTGTATTCCCCAAATGTTCATAAGCAAAGAAAGCAGGGATTCCTAAGATGTAGTTGAGCATCATGGTTAGATTAATGAGATCATTGCTGCAGTAAATATGGATCCTGTGCCTTTTTTCTTCCATTATATTTGGCCTCAGCCAGTCTCCATGTTACCTTCACTGGGAAAAAGTGAAAAATAAATTGTTTTACTTGCAAATCCTGATCAATGAAACTTGTCCTTTTTCCCTGATCAGGGATTTGCATGCCTGCCTGCTGGAATCTGCATGTCAACAATGGGGCGTAATGTTTCATATGAGCAAGCTGTTGCTTGGAAAGTGCTATCTGCAGAAGAGAACGTTGTTCATTGCATTGCTTTCTCGTTTGTAAACTGGTCTTTTTTGTGAACTCCACAGTTCATTTATCCAACTATGCAGTCGAATACGAGAACAACGGTATGGTAGAGATTTTTGAAAATGAAAAGAGGAGTTTTATAGTAAATATCTAAACCCAGCTGCAGGTTTTTGCCTTGTCCATGTAAATAAATATATCTTCTCCTTTGCAATTTCACTGGAGCTTTTCTTGCACTTTCCAGGAATGTCTTAAAGATGTCATTTCTATGTTTTGCTAGGTAAAACCTCGAAATTGCACTGCTGTTAGTCTGGTACTCGATTGGACTTCTCTTTGCTATCAATATTGGGATTTCCGAGGGCTTTAAATGCTAGTTGTGCAGCTTCTGCTACTGAACCTTGGTGCATTTTTAAAAGTCTGTTCACACTCTTCTTGGCTCTCGGGGGATTCAATCCAAGATTCATGTTTGTATTTGACTTTTGCGGTTCCAAAATGTGAATATAAAGAAATTAAGATGGACAAACGCCAGATGATGTGTGATATTTTAATAGGAATTGTTTTTAAAAGTGTTTTTTATTTTTTAGAAACGTATAAAAATGATATTTTTTATTTTTAAAAAATTATTTTTAATATTAATATATTAAAATAATCTGAAATTATATAAAAAAAATTATTTTTAAAACCCAGGAAATGTTATGTTTTTAAATTATAAATTTTTTATATACTATGTTTTGAAATCATAATGGCTAACAAATTGGTTATTAGAAAGTTTCATGGCCAAATCACCTCAACCAATGAATGAAATGCCTAAAAAAGACTACTAGCCACATGTCTTGTTTTTTTTAATATATTTCCACATAAAAACTACATTTTGCTTTTTATATATTGTAACATAAAACTTGAAGAGGCTCTTCTAAGATTTTATGGTGAATTACATTATAATTATAATTTTTGTCTTGTTTTTGTGGCTTGTAAATAAATTTTATAATAAAAAATTCATATTGAATTTTGGGTGAATTGCATAAAAACTCCAATTTTTGTCATATTTTAATGTCTTGCAATTAAATCTTATAATTAAAAACTTGCATGAATTTAAGTTTAAGGTGAATTGCATAATAACTTCAATTCCATCCGTTATTTGGTTTGCCAATCTTACAGTTAATAACTTCATTCATCATACTTTAAATCATAGAACTCAACAACATTCAAATTAAAATTAAATTCAACAAACAATTATCTTGTCTTCGTTTACATATTGACAAGTAAGATTTTGATTTTCAATTCTAGTACTCCAAAAATTATAGTATTTCAAATTATATTTAAAAACAATTCTCAATCTTAACTCAACCAACCTAAATAAAAAAAAGCAATTCTCAATCTTAACTCAACCAACCTAAATAAAAAAAATATATATATAATTTTTTTTCACAAATATACTGAAAAAAACTAAAACTAAATTGCAAACTCATAATTAATAAAATAACACAACAAAAAACATAGAATGCATATATAGTGAATGAGCATGACTACCTTAATTATGACATCATCAACAATTAATATCTTTTTAAAGTTTGTAAATATATTCGGACAAACAGTGGATCATCATGATACCGAGATGTATTATTTATTTATTTTTAGATTATTATGACATATAAATGTATCATTTTTTTTTATCAAGATTACAAAACATATAGGTGACCTCTTAACACTCCCATAACAATAACAACAAGCTAACGTAATATTCATCAAATATATATATTAAATTAAAGGTTCTATAAACAAAGAAAAACCATAATGAAAAAAACAAAAAGGCTCTTGGATGCTAACTTAAGATTTTTTTTATTTAAAAGGTAATTAAATTATTTTACTATGTTTAAAAAAAATACAAAGACTAAAAATGCCCTTCACGCAAGTTTAGTATTTTCTTTGTTTTTAAGGGAAAATAAGTTATTTATTATGCCAAAAAAATACAATAAAACTGATTTTTTTAAAATATATTTGGAAATGACCAATGAATGGGTCATGTAAAACAGACCATTTTACCATTAATAGTAAGGTTTGTTGTTTTTAAAGGGTAAAAAAGTTATTTCACTATTTCAACCCATAATGAACTATGTGTCTTTATGCATAATGAAAAATAATGGCTTTTTTTATTTTTATTTTTCTAATTAGATTGATGCATGTGCTATGCTTCGGGCCAAATACAAAAAAAAAATTAATGTAAAAGAATAAAAAAATAAAAAAATTATGATCTGAGTTATGAGTCCTTTTAGGTGCAATAAATTGATTTTATTTAATTATATAAAAAACAATAAAAGTAAACAAACCAAATTAAACTAAAAAAAATAATCATGATGACCTGCATAAAAAAAATCACTTGCAAAAAAAAACACATGAAGCTTATTTCCTAGCAAATTTAATATTGAAGAATGAAGCTACAAAAAAAAAAAGTTATAAAAGAACAACGAAAAAACCATAGTCTTTATTCAACCCGGGTTTTGATGAAAGCAAATAGATCAAATTAAACAAGAAAAAATAAATCATGATGACCCACATGAAAACAAATCTTTAAGATATGTATTATATTTCACTTATTTTTTAAAATTTATCTGACACATGTCATTTTACTATTTTATTTTTTAAAAAATAAATTGTAGCCTATATTAATTTCTTTAAGATATATATTATATTTCACTTATTTTGACTTATATGTCCAGGCCTGGGACTATAGCTTTTCTTAAGCCAACCTAGATTAAATACTTCATATACATACTATATTTCACTTATTTGGTAATGGGAATTAATAAGTATCATCAAAAGATTTATTACAAATGTTAATTGAGCCTGTTACAATGTCTAAAGTTAAAAAGTTTAATTAGAAAAAAATTGATTGGACTAATACTAGAAATTTGAGTTAAAAAATCACAAATCTATTAAACTTGATCTTTATATACTATATAGATTATATATAAAGCTACAATTAAAATTTTATTGTTATTTAATTCGAATAAAAACTATATGTTTTAGACCTTCTATCTTTCTATCTATATATTGTAAGTAAATAAAGTAATTATTTCATACAAAAAAGAATGAATTATTTGAAGTTATGTTTGAAATTTGCCAGCAAATAATGAAAGTAACAAAAGAAATGTTTTACATATGATTTATGGATTCTTACTAAGCAAATATTTAATTACACATGAAGTTTTTATTTTGAAAAAAAATTTAACTTTTCAAGAAGATCAATTATGCACCAATCTTTATTATTTACCTACTTGGTTGAGGTTTTTTATTTTATTTAAATTTTTATTATTATTTTTTAATATTGTTTAGGATGTTTTGCCTAATATAAATAAAGTTATTTAACTTGTATTTGAGTTTGTTTTAGTTTTTTTAGAGATTTAATTTATTTTAAAATAATATTATATATACGCGAGGTTTCTCAAACTTTAGGTCATTTTTTTTTATGTACTTCTTGTTTCATCCAATAACTTAAATGTCTGAAATCAAGTAATTATTGTATTTGTTTTTTTTAATCAATTCTTCTTTCTTTTCTTTGTTTTTGTTAGTTTTGGCTCAGTATAATGTATTATGGTTTTTAGGTTATCAAAGTCTTTCTTGCATTTATTTTTATTTTTGTATTTGTTATTTTTTTTGTTGTCGTATTCACTTTTGTTTTTGTTTTTGCTATCATTTTCATTAAATTCTGAATACTGAACCCTTACCTTCTTTAAGTAAAGTCTACGACATGATCATCCATGAAGAAAGACAACAAACAGTAGCGGGGTCTCAAATTCCTGTCCTTGGAGCCACTGCCCTCGCTGCCAACACAAAAGGCAGCACAAGTTTCAGTAGAGGCAATAGTACAGCCACTGTACGGGGCACACACAAACTGACTGCTACCAGCTGAAAGGGTTTCTTCCAAGTTGGACATCACGATGCCGTACTGATCAGGAGAGACCAAGCAAACCTGCAACCCGAGAGCCAACCACTCATGCTGTGACCTCAATCGATTCTGTCCAGCCCGCCAGCACACCTAACACAAATGATGGCCACAATGTTTCACCTATTTCTGGTCTTCCCACGAACCAATACAACCGGCTCATATGTTTTCTGAATGGAGGATCCCTTAGTCTTGCCAATTATGATGGTAAGTCTAACAGTATGTGGGTCATAGACAATGGTGCCTATTACCATATGGTTGGTTCTCATGATCTTCTTGATCACAGATTTGCCATTTTAAATCATGCCTCAGTCGGTATACTAAAAGGTCATAAATCACTTGTTACTCATATAGGGGACAGTACCATAAATCCTCATCTAAAGCTTCAGGATGTTCTTTGTGTCTCTGGCTTCTCTTGTAACTTATTGTCTGTTGGAAAGATAACCTGAGATTTAAATTGTGTGGTCCTTTTCTTTGATGATTTTTGTGTCTCTCAGGACCTTCAAACGAGGAGCTTGATTGGAATGGGTAGATTGCAATATATTCAGCGTTTAGGCCATGTTTCTTTTTCTCATCTCAAACAAACTCCACTTTTGAATAATGTTATTTTTCAAGATTTTATCTATAATGGGTGCCGCAAATCTAAACAACTCGTCTGCCTATGCCTACTAGTTCTGATAAAATCTTGAGATGTTTATCTTTAATTCATTGCGATGTCTGATGCCATTATCAAACACCATCTTCTTACGCCTTTTGAAAGATGTAATTTTATTCCATTTTCACTTATATGGCTAAGTCTATAGTTCCATAATTCTACCTGATATTCAGCTTTAGTAGCAGCACTGGTAATCATTTGATGTCGAGGTTATATACAAAGGTCCTAGTTTTCTTTCCTCATGCCAAAACTATTGCTTCTTCCACATGTCCCTTATAAAATTTATAGAATGGCCATTTTTATCAAGTTTTTCTGTAGAGATCAGGTTCTTCTTTATTGTAAACTCCATACAAAGCCATTAGATGATTTTATTTCCACATCTCTTATGCCTATAATGTTCATTATATCTCTTGGTACGGAGTAGTGTGGAATGAGGCTCTTGAGTGTAGCACCCAATAATCAATAGGGATGTAAACAAAAGGTAAGAATGCTTCATATACATCCTCCATTATTGTATTGGCAGATTTATTCTCATCATTCTTCTTCTAATGGTTACAATTCATTTGATCATGACATATCCTGCCACTACCAATATTCTACTTGTTCTCTCTAGCGTATTCCTCTTAGCCTCCCCTTCA